AAGATGTCTTTTATAAACCTTATTGCAACATATTATATTTAAGGAATAATAAAGATCAATAGAATAAAAGCAAGCAATGAAAGGGGAGGAGAATGAAGCTTACTAAATTATGTTATGTGCAATGTATCTTTTTTTTKGGGGGGGGTACTAGGGACGGAGCCCAGGGCTGTTTAACCACTGAGTCACATCCCTAGCTCTTTTATTTTACTTTGACTCAGGGTCACACTAAGTTGCTTAGGGACTTGCAAAGTTGTTGAGACTAGCTTTGAACTTGTGACCCTCCAGCCTCAGCCTCCTAAGCTGCTGGTTGTGGTGTGCGCCACCACACCCAGCTAATGGGCCCATTTAAAAAAATAAATAGAAGGAAGACCAATAGAGGAAGAGGACTGGGGGAGAAGAGGGAAGGTAAACAGGAAGAACTGAGGATTAAAACAGAGCTATGTTATATGCATTTATGAACATCAAAATGAACACCACTAATAGGCTAAATAGGGACTAGATAAAAGTACTATATAACAAACAGAATCACACCTCTAAATGAAAACAAACTATATTTCCTTTTCAAGTACAGGCCCTTAGCTGGGTGTGGTGGTACACAGCTGTAATCTGAGCAGTTCAAGGCCAGCCTGGGTAACTAAGCAAAAACCCTGTCTCAAAATAAAAAGGCCCCTGAAAGAGGCACTGGATTCAATACCCAGTATGGATAGATAAATAGTCCTTCCCAAGGAAAAGTAAAAAACGATCCTCTGGAGGAAATTAAACTAAAAACTGAAACCTGATGGATGAGAAAAGCAAAACAAAAGTCATAGCCCCGGAGGGAGGGGATGCATTAATTTACTTCCATACTTTTTCCCCCCAAATAAATTTTTCTTCCCAGATAATTAAAAAAAAGGGGGGGGTATAATTAATGTTATAATGCTATCTATAGCCAAGCAACCACAACCTATTATAAAAGAATGAAGGTTCCTGGCTACAGAATTCTATTCCTTAAAATAAATATTGCTTAAGCCTTGCTTTTAGAAAAGACCTTTTGCAAACACTCGATATTTAGAAAATTATCTACATATAGTGTCAAGTRTATTTAGGAAGGACTATTTTCTTGTCAAAAGTAAAATTGGAGTTGTTCTGCTTGCCCCTGGTTAATGTTTGTACCATTAGAAGGCGACAGATTAGAAAATTAGACAGGGCATTTCCTCTACACTAGTCCTTTAAACATCCTTTTGGTCAAACACATGGCTCACTTATGAAGAAAAAAGTATTAGAATTAGAATCAGTATTACAACTAATTAAAAGATCAAAACTATAACCAAGAACTTTAAAACACTGGACCACAGCACAAATGCTGTTTTGAAGTTTCTTCATAAACACTAAATGAAGGAGGAAACAAAGTTCAGCTATTAGTTTAACCATATAATATCAACTATATGTTTTTTCTTTAGGGACCATAAATGGTAGTATTAAGATGTAGTATTATAATAAATCAGTTGAATATTAGAAATATTATCATAAATTAAATAAGATAATTTCTGACCATTTATAACCTTTTCTAGTGGCACTGTTTTGATTACATTAAGAGTACTTAGTGGAAGGCTAATGTTCCAAGTAAAATATTTTAATGATATGAAGTGTATAAAAATTGAGTGTTTTTAATAGCATGTACTGTTAGGCTATAGCTTTCAGAATATGCAACTGGGAAAGTACAATGATAATATCATTTAAATTGATAATAAAAGTGATTCATGAAATATGATTAATAATTTAATATTTTATCATCTTAAAACAAAAATCTAACCAAATGCAACCCAGCTCTGCCACTGGTTAGCTCTGTAAACAGAGGCAAATAACTATTTTGAGAGTTCAGTTTACCTCTAAAATAAGTCATATTATTTGTAAGGTTATTTCCAATTCTAAAATTCTATGACTATTTGTATTTCATTAGGTACGTGCTACTTGATTTCTTTGCATTTTAGCTATCTAAAGTAATCAGGAAAAATGGACAGTAAATTAAAAATGCCTTTATTCCACTGATAAGCAGAAACACACACACACACACATATATTTTAGGAATATATATATTTTAAAGTTTCAACATTTCTTTGTTAAGTAAAGCCAAAGTATGGCTACAAGTGGAGAGGAAATAGCTAAGTTAGTCAACAAAACTGGTTTACTTAGGTCTTATATTTGTATTTGTACATATACCATATTATAGCACAAAAACATCCCCCATCTTGTATCTCGAGCTTCCAGAAAAGTCATATGATTAATTCACCCTGAGTGGGATCATCTCTGGCTGTCTATATAAGGGCTATATAGATGGGGAATTCAACATTTCCTTAGTACTACTCTCAATGTCCTTCTTTCAAAGGTGTAGACATCACACAATTTAAACTCAATGGCTATTTTAAGAACAAAACAATGATGAAAAATTCAGTTGCCATGTTGGAGGAATTTATACATTCTTAAGTATTCTATTTATTTTCTATGGCTTGGAATTTCTCACCCAAGAAAACAGACTTCATTCCCAAACATTTATTATATCTTTCTCTGCTAGAAACAGAAGCAAGTTTTCTCTCTGACAAACTTGTCACAGGGGAACAAATTAAATGCTTTCCCAAAATGGAGCATAAGTCTTCCTTAATATCAGTGTATCATAACTACGATGTAGCAGCAGTCTTTAAAATTTCATAAGTTATAGCTAAGAAGGCAGTTTTGGCCGTTTTGCAGATGGTCCATCTGAGTTAGTTCTTTTATCAATGTTATTTTCATCTTCTGCATCATCTTCACCATCACCTTTTAAAATAAATATTTGTTGTATGACATGTTCAGTGGGTTGAAAGAAATATAGAAGTTAAATGGTCAAAATGAGACCATTTCACTTTAGGGATTATTAAAACCACACTTATTTTAGATTTTTTAAAAGACTTCAGCGGATTTTAATATTTAAAACCTCTCTTTTGGGGCTGGGGATGTGGCTCAAGCGGTAGTGCGCTCCCTTGGCATGCGTGCGGCCCGAGTTCTATCCTCAGCACCACATATAAACAAAGATGTTGGGTCCGCCAAAAACTAAAAAAAAATAAAAATTCTCTCTCTGTCTCTTAAACAAACAAACAAAAAAATCCTCTCTTTTGGATCACTTTCTTTTTTGGAGATATAATTTCTTCAACATAAAAATGCACTTTCTTTTTGATACTGGAGATTGAACCCAGGGCACTTATCCACTGAGCCACATCCCCAGCCCTTTTTGTATTTTTCAATTTAGAATCAGGGTCTCACTGAGTTTAGGGCCTTGCTAAATTGCTGAGGCTGGCTTTGACCTCCTGCCTCAGCCTCTGGAGCCACTGGTATTACAGGCCTGAACTACCACACCCAGCTGGCTCTTTTTTAAAGTGTATGATTCTGTGGTTTCCAGTACATTCACTTTAAATTAACATCTATAATTCTGGAATATTGTTATCATCTCCAAAAGGAACTCTATATTCATTAGCAGTCACTTTTCATTCCACTCAACCCATGCAACTACTAATCCACTTTCTCTATGGATTTTCCTACTTTGGACATTTCCTATAAATGGAATCATACAATATGTGGCCTTTTGTGTCTGATTTTGATTTATTGTTTTCAAGATTCATTCCTGTTGTAGCATGTATCAATACTATTTTTTTTAAATGCCAAATAACCACATTTTGCTTCTGCACTAATGGATTCAGGGACATCTGTGTTGTTTTCATTTTTTAGCTACTATAAATAATGCTGCTAAGATTCTGAGTTTTTGTTTAAACATGTTTCCAGTTCTCTTGGGAGGACTAACAGTGACACTACTGGTTCACATGTTAACTTTTTAGTTTTTGAGGAACTGCCAAACTGTTGTAGGTGGAAACATCATTTTATAGTTCCACCAACAATGTACAAGTTCTTCAATTTCTTCACATCCTAGACACTTTTTATTGCTCTTTTTAACAGCCAGCATCCACATCATCAAAATGGAAACAAAATGGAAAGGAAAAGTACAGTTCAATTTCTTCTATGAGAAGAGTAAATATCTAGTTCTTAGGTATTTTGTTTGTCTTTTATAACTCAAGGCAGTCAAAAATGGAATGATCTTCTGTATTCTCATTTAAGATTTCTTTTAAATGAACACAGTTAAAAGTTCATGGTTCTGCTTTCAAAATATCACCTATGAAACTGGTATATGGGAAAGGAGTTTCTGAGGTTGAAGACTGGTTAAACTGAAATCGGCCCCACTCGTCGGAACCTGCTCCTACTGTAATAAATTGCACTCTTTCAGACACGTCTGTAATTTCACACCTGGCAAACTCCATTGTCTCCAACACCCAGCTCATAAGTCGTGGCCACTCTAGGGACGCCTTGCTTGGGTCTCTCGGCTTGCAGGAGTTAGAGGGTCCCAGAGTCACAATTTTTCACTCGTTCACGACCGTGTCAGCCTGCCTCATCCCACAGATTCCCAAGGGCAGGAACTGAGTMGTATTCACCTCCTTCTTTCCGGACCTCAGCCCAGACCCACCCTGCTGGGCACAGAGCAGTGGGCGTTCAGCACGGTTTTTGCGATATAAATGAACAGTCGGGGAAACGCTGGGGCAGTAACGGCTTGGACACAGAAGGCAGCGAGTGCCCACACTTTCAGAAGTAACTTCCCGCCCGCCCAGACTCACTTTCCACAACTCCGCCACTCACAGGGCGGCCCCAGCCGACGTTCCCGGGTCCCCGCCCCGCCCTCCTGAGGCTCCAGCACCTTCTCAGAGCTCACCGTCCAACGTCTCGTCTGGGGCCAAGCGGCCCTGCGCTTCCTGCTGTACCAAGGGATCAAAGAAGTCGGATACCAGCTCCTTCATCTGGGTCACACCCGACAACAGGTTCTGAAGAGAGTCGGCGTCCCCGGTCCCGTCACAGAGTACCCGCAGTCGCTGCTGCTCCCCGTCGGGGCCAACGTACTCTCCTGAAAGCTCCATGGCGACCGCTGAGCTTTAAGAACGCGCCACAGAAAAGCGCCGCCCGGAAGCGGAAACCAGCCCGCGGCCCGCGCGGGCGGGAGCCGCTAGAGGAATGACTTCCGTTTGTGGGAAACTGCTCCTCCCATTTCCTTCACCTTCCTTCTTTGGGATTGGTTCCTGACACTCAGGCCCCGCCTCCTCCGCTACGCCCCTCGCGGCCGCTTTTCCCGCCTCCGCCAGGGCCGAGCTGGGAGCCCGGGTGACAGTTGAGGATGGCTGGTGCTGAGGGGAACGCTGGACGGCAGTCGGAGCTGGAGCCTGTGGTGTCGCTGGTCGACGTACTTGAGGAGGACGAGGAGCTGGAGAACGAGGCGTGCGCCGTCCTGGGCGGCAGCGACTCCGAGAAGTGCTCCTACTCGCAGGTGGGCTCTCAGCCCGGGCCTCATCTTCTCCCGCGGCTCCGGCTGAACCTTCTCTCTCCGGCGGCGTTTTCTCTCCCCCCCCCCCCGCCCTTGCCGCGGTCGACCCCTCTGCTCTGGTCCGGGCCGCCATTCTTCTTGAGCTTTACAGCCCAGGCTGGCCTTTTATCCTCAGCCTTCCCTGGGCCCCTTTCCTCAGCAGGGCCTTCCTCCTCCCTGTCTTCCCCGTCCGGCTTCGGCGCTCGAGCGGCTGCTCTGTCCTTCCTCTCCAGTCCCTCCTTGCTGGCCTTGGTACTTGCTCTTCACGAAACCGTACGCACGACCTCTCAAATCCACACATCTTTCTCCTGCTTTTTCCCATCCGTAGAGTGTTGGCTTATTAGGGGTCGAAGGGTAGGATCAAAGTAGAGAGAGCGAATCCTGCATTTGAAAATCTCCCTGTGTGGGATGGGCTCATTGATTGCACTGCGATAGTTTAAGAGCTTGCTAGTACTTTCTTTTCTTTCTTCCTTTCCTTTTTTTCTTTTTTCGAGAAACAAAGCAAGCACCCTATTCCCTGTCTGCAGTCTCACTTTCCTCCCACTGGAAATAGACCGGAACCAGAAGAGCAGGTGGCCCTAACAAGGGAGGGGAGGGAGGGGAGGAGAGAAACATTTGGAAGATGTTGTGTACAAGAGTTTGAGGGGGTGTGATGTAGTGTTTTTGTGACTCATCCTGTATTTTTAGGTACAAAAAACGAAGAAGGATGAGTAGGAAGAAAACGAACAAGGATTAAAAATTGGTAGGAGAAGGATTATTTAGGCCTGGGTTTAGGGGAACATTGGGGAATGAGGGGAGAGACTTGCAGTTATTTTGTAATATAGACTGAAGTCATAATTTGACAGTTGTCAGCATTGGCCAAGTTGAGTTTACACTGTAAATGGCTAGATTGTTGAATACACCTGGTATGCAGAGATAGTCCCAGATGTTGGCTGGTATATAAAATCTTTGGTCACTAATAAAACAACTTTTTCCTTGTTTTTTTTTTTAAAAAAAGGTCCACAATCTATATATAAGCTATTTTTGAAATGTAGTCAGTTTTATCAAATGGACATCCATAAAATTTTCTTATTGTAGTTAAACATGGATATTTGCATGAATCATAKGTATAGGTTTTGAAAAAAGTCAACACATGCATGTACCCACCCACCACCCAGAGCAAGAAATAGAATATTACTGGCATCCCAGAGCCTGCTTGTATGTCTCCCTTCTTCTTAGAGGAGGGTAACCCTTAGCAAGATTTCCAGTTTTGCCGTTTTTCCTTCAGTTTTTTGTGTTGGAACATTTTTTAAGTTATAGATAAAAGAATAGTACTGTGAACACCTGCATGCCTTTTACATGTATTCACTTTTTAACATTTTAYCATGTTTATCTTTCTCATATATATATTTTAATTTTTATTGTTGGTTGTTCAAAACATTACTCCTTTATATATATAATATGCTTTTTTTTGAGTCACTTGAAAATCAGCTGCACATGAAAATCAGCTGCACATGTTGTGACACGGCGCTTCTAAATACTTCAGCATGCATCAAAGGGATTCTTTTCTCTTTGATGGAATTTCACACATTTCCCCCAAATTAAAGTGTGATATTGCATACATAGACCTGCACACCTTTACCTGCATCTTCATATGTTAAACTGATTAAGCAGACCAATTTATTCACAGCTGATTGGAAAATTTCAGCTTCTTATCTCTTGAAGATAAAATTGTATGAAAACAAAATTAGCRTATATGAAATGCGGCAGCATTTTGGAACCCTGTTGTATAAAAATTTTAAGTAGTCTCAGTGTTTTTTACAGGAAGATCTTGACCACAAACATTCCGATTTTAATTATTTCTGAGATCTTAGTATTAATGAACTGTGCTATTTCATTAACTTATTCTCTTCTGTTTTGGGCTGTCTTCTAGGGCTCAGTAAAGAGACAGGCGCTCTATGCCTGTAGTACCTGTACCCCAGAGGGAGAAGAACCAGCAGGAATTTGTCTAGCTTGCAGTTATGAATGTCATGGTAGTCATAAACTATTTGAGCTGTACACAAAAAGGTAAACAGAATGCTGAAAGTTTTCTGAGTATTTAGAGATTATTTACCAGATAGTTTTTCTTAACTTTGCTTTTGCATTCAAAGTAATTCTTCACTGTTGAAATTTAATGTAATTGTTTTACATAAGTGGAAGAGAATGGTTTTTCCATAGGACCTTTAAAATATAATTATGATACGAAATCAAATTACTCATCCTTTTCTGACATTATTTTGTGTGTGTGTGTGTGTGTGTGTGTGTGTATGCGCGTGCGCGCCCCACATAAATATTTACCTTTTTTATTTTGTTTTGAGATGAGATATTGCTGTATTTCCAGGGATGGTCCCAAACTCCTTGTCTCTCTCAGTCCTGCCTCAGCCTTCCTAGTAACTGGGACTATACCCAGTTGTCTTTATACATAGTAATTTTAGAATTATAAAACTTTTTATTGTTATATGCTTGGRGAATTTCCAAATCAGATACATGGACAGCAATCAAGCCATTTTTTAGATCCTAGAAATGAGTTTAAAGGGTTGAAATGAGTCAAAAGGCTACAATTTGAGTTTAAGGAATACTTCATTAGTCTTACAAGAAAAATAAAATTTGCTTTTCCTCCTTTGTTCCAGAAATTTTCGTTGCGATTGTGGAAACAGCAAGTTTAAAAATTTGGAATGCAAATTATTTCCTGTAAGTAAGCAACTTAACTACAAATGCATTTAAAGGAACTGAAGTCAATATTTACCAGAGTGGGTAAAAACCAAATGTGTATTTCATTTCTTATTTTGTTGGAAAAAATAGCCTGTTCAGAGACTATAACATAGACTACAATTGATAAAACATTCTGTAGGGAAATTTGTGTGTGTGTGTGTGTGTGTGTGTGTGTGTGTGTGTGTGTGTTGTTGGAAATTGAACCCAAGGCCTTGTTCATGCAAAGCAAGCACTCTACCAGCTGAGCTATATCCCTAGCCTAAGGGAAATTTTTTATAGTGACTCAGGTTTATTTATTTTCCACATTTTTTATTGGTGCATTATAGTTGTACATATTGGTGGGATTTGTTGTTACATATTTGGACATGCACACAATATAACAATATAATATGGACAATATCATTGCCCTGCATTTCTCCCCTCTTTCCCTGTCTTCCACCCTTTGGTCCCTTTTTGTTTTTAATCTCCCTTTAATTTTTAGGAGATCCACCCCCACCTTTTGTTTTCCCTCTAGCTTATGCATGTGAAAGAAAACATACCCCTTTAACCTGAGTTTGACTTACACGTTTAACATGGTAGTCTGTAGTTCCATCCATTTTCCTGCAAATGACATAATTTCATTTTTATTTATGGCTGAGTAAAACTCCATTGTGTATGTGTACCACAGTTTCTTTATCTGTTCATCCATTGGTGGTCACCTAGTCTGGTTCCATAGTTTGGCCGTTGTGAATTGTGCTATATCGTATGTGTATATCACTGTAGTAAGATGGCTTCAATTCCTCAGAGTAAATACTGAGAAGTGAGCCAGTTGAGGTAGTGCATGTCTGTAATCCTGGTGGTTTGGGAGGCTGAAGCAGGAGGATTGCAAGTTCAGAGGCAGCCTTGGCAAAAAAGAGAGGCACTAAGCAACTCAGCAATACCCTATCTCTAAATAAAATAAAAAATAGGGTTGAGGATGTGGCTCACTAGTTGAGTGCCCCTGAGTTTAATCCCCAGTACAAAAATACTGACACATGGTATAGCTGGGTGATATGGTCATGCCATGCCTACTCTTTTGAGGCATCCTTATACTGATTTGCATATTGGTTGTACTAATTTATAGTTCCACCAACAGTGTAAAAGTGTTCCTTTTCTTCTACATCCTCTCCAGCATTTATTATTGCATTTATTATTCTTGATGACTGCCATTTTGACTGGTATGGGATGAAATCTCAATGTAGTTTTGATTTGCATTTCCCTAATTGCTAATAATGTTGAACATTTTTTCATATATTGTTAGCCATTTGTATTGCTTTCTTTCTTTTTTTTTTTTTGAGAAGTGTCTGTTTATTTGACAATTTATTAATTGGGTTATTTGATTTTTTTTTTTTTTTTGGTGTAAAGTTTCTTTAGCTCTTTATATATTCTAGATATTAATCCTCTGTCAGAAGAGTACCTGGCAAAGATTTTTCTCCTGTGAGTTTTCACATTTCTGATTATCTCCTTTGCTGTACAGAAGTTTTTTAAATTTATTTTATTATTATTATTATTTTTTTAATATTTATTTTTTAGTCTTTGGCGGACACAACAGCTTTGTTTGTATGTGGTGCTGAGGATCGAACCTGGGCCGCACGCATGCCAGGCGAGCGCGCTACCGCGTGAGCCACATCCCCAGCCCCAAGCTTTTTTAATTTAATGCTGTCCCATTTATTAACTCTTGGCCTTATTTCCAGAGCTTTAGGGGTCCTTTTGAGAAAGTCATTGCCTGTGACTAAAAGCTGGAGTGTTGACCTTATGTTTTCTTCTAGGAGTTGCATAGTTTCTGGTCTAATTCCTAGGTCTTTCATCCATTTTGTGTTGATTTTTATGCAGGTTAAGACATAAGTGTCTATTTTCATTCTTCTACATATGGATAATCAGTTTTCCCAGCCTCAATTGTTTAAAAGGCTGTCTTTTCTCCATTGTGTGTTTTTGGCACCTTTGTCAAGGATCAGATGACTGTAGATGTGTGGGTTTGCCCTGTGTATTCTCTTCTGTACCATTGGCTGTGTGTCTGTTTCTATGCTATTGTTGTTGCTATTGCAACAACAATTGCTATTGCTCTGTAGAATAATTTGAAGTCGGGTATTGTGATGCCTGACATTTTTTTTGCCTTAAGATTGCTTTGGCTATTCTGGGTCTTTTATTCTTCCATATTTTCTAGTTCTGTGAAGAATGTCATTAGTATTTTTATGAGGATTGCATTGAATTTGTATTTTGCTTTTGGTGGTATGAGCATTTTAACAATGTTAATTCTGCATGTTTGTTTTGTTGGTTATGCTTATTCTCTGAGGCTTTTGAAGCAAAGAATATAACTTTTAAACTGAATAAATCAAATGGTAATAATGGGGGCTAGATCCACATAGCACTTTTCACTGAACTTTGGCTAATAAATACTATACTAATATCATAACTTTTAATGAAATAACAGAGGTAAATAAAATGTAAGGAATGTGACTTATTCCATCATAATTGCCCAAACTGTCATGTTTTTCACATTCCTTTGTAGGTTAGTTCTAGGCAATTTCTTTGCCTCTTAATATTTTTAGTGTCCAGTGCATTTTTGATTTTGTTTATTTAGCTGTGATTCTGAGAATTCAAGCCAGGGCCACATACATGCCAGGCAAACGCTCTACTACTAAGCCACAACCCCAGTCCTCTTTGCCTCTCAGTTAGCTATTGGCTATTCACAACTGTGCTTAAAGAAGTGCACTGAAATTCTAGGCCAATGGTGGTTCACACAGGTTGATAATTAATATTTGTGAATAACTTTTGTCTTCGTTTTATTGAAAACAATTTCCCCAATTGCTACAGAAAGGATAAAAAAAAATTTATTTTTTTCCCAGATCTGGGAAATAGTATCTCTAGTAGGAGTGAATTTTCTTCAGACTTTGAAAGTTTAAGACTAGCTTCTAGGGGCTGGGGATGTGGCTCAAGCGGTAGCGCGCTCGCCTGGCATGCGTGCGGCCCGGGTTCGATCCTCAGCACCACATACCAACAAAGATGTTGTGTCCGCCGAGAACTAAAAAATAAATATTAAAAATTCTCTCTCTCTCTCGCTCTCTCTCTCTCTCTCCTCTCTCACTCTCTCTTTAAAAAAAAAAAAAAAGACTAGCTTCTAGGAGAAAGATATTTAATGCAGAAATTTATCGAATGCATAAATTTTATGATGCATGAAATTATCCTTAAAATTAAGTCATACTGTATACTGAAATTAATATTGATATTATCTTTCAGGACAAAGCAAAGGTAAATTCTTGTAATAAGTACAATGACAACTTTTTTGGATTATACTGCATTTGCAAGAGACCTTATCCTGATCCTGAAGATGAGGTAAGAAAATTGGAGATTAAAATCTGGGATTGTGTCATCTCTAGCCTTAATTCCTTAGCCTCATGTCATATCTGGGGCTCTAGAACCCTGTAGGAGGCATTTTAAGATGCTCAGGGATTCTGATTTACCTGTTTTTAATGAATGTGGATTGGACCTGTAACTGGTACTGCTCTCACATATTATTCTCATTGTTATATCATGATTATGAAATATTGGAGGGGACTCTCTGAAGTCCAGAACTTATTCCCTTTTCTCCCTTTCCTGCTGGTTGACCCCTTCCCCAACACTTACTGGGAAATGATCTTCAACTTCTTGTCTTCCTTAAAGGAAAGAAATGTGTACAAACTATATTCCTGTGCTTTTCACCTCCAAGGCATAACCTGTTAACACTTTAGTGTGTGTATATATGTGTGTGTGTGTGTGTGTGTGTGTGTATATAAATAAATAAATATATATATATATATAAATAAATGTTCAAGTCTTTTTCTGTACACATAAAAGTGTTCAAATGAGTTTGTGTTTCAATGTGTAGTTTCCTTTTAACAAAAGTGAAAATTCTGCCTCACATGCCTATAATCCCAGCAACTTGGGAAGATGAGGCAGAAGAATTACATGTGCCAACCTCAGCAACTTAGCGAGGCCCTAAAGCAACTTAGCAAGACTTCGTCTCAAAAATTTTTTAAGTGGGCTAGGGATGTAGCTCAGTGATAAAGAGTGCCTAGGTTCAATCCCAGCCCCCAAAAAAGAAAATTCTGTATATTAACTTCTGCAACTTTTTAGTATATCATAGACATGTTAAACAACACAAATTTCCCTCATTTTAACTGCTGCAGTGTATCCCATGGTTTGAAATAAGTTAGTTGATCTGTTAATTAACCCAASTGTTCTTCTATAGCAGAATGGTGTTGTCTAATTTTTCACTATTACTAAGAAGGCTACAGTGAACATCCTTACACAGTAATGTATCTGAGTATACTCCTAAAGGTATTTATATGGAATGGATATGTAGAAATAGACTTGATTAGTCAAAGGATTTTTGTATTTAAAATTGTGATCACATCTGGTAAAATGGTTCAGCCACCAATGATATATGATAGCATTTTTTTCCCCAGTACTCTAATTGATCCTATTTTATTACCAGTTCTTTAAATTTTGACATTTTAATGAAGGAAGAATAGTGTCTTTCAGAGTTTTTTCTTTCCCTGATTATGAGTGAGGTTATGCATCTTTTTATGATTTTACTGGACATTTGTAATAATCTTTTGAATTGTCCTTTCATAACTTTAGTCCATATTTTGATTGGATTGTGTTTTTTGTTTTGTGTATTGGCTGATTTGACGGAGTGCTTTTTATAGTTAGAGAAATGGCTTTCTGCCTCCTTCCTTGCATTTTAATTATCTTAAAATATTAAGCCAGGTGCAGTGGCACACACCTGTAATTCCAGCAGCTCTGGAGGCTAAGATRGGAGGATCACAAGTTCAAAGTCAGCCTCAGCAAAAGTGAGGCGCTAAGCAACTCAGTGAGACCCTCTCTCTAAATAAAATACAAAATAGGGCTGTGGATGTGGCTCTGTGGTTGAGTGCCCCTGAGTTCAATCCCCAGTATCTTTAAAAGGAAAAAAAAAAGAATATTAATTATTGAATCAAAATAGAGAAAGAAATTAAAGCTATTTTTGAGTTTGAGTTAATAAAATTAAAACCTTAAAACTAGATATTTTGAGGTATGGGGTAAAGTGTTACTTATAACACTGTTGAATCAAAAGACAAGATGATGAATAAGCAGGCAAAAAAAAATTACTTTGTTGATTTTATGTATGTGTGTGTGTGTATGTGCAGACATGCAGTTGCTTTTCCTTCTTTAAGAAAACCACAGTAAAAGGACAGAATAAAAATGTGTATGTTCAGTCCAGAATTTTTAGTAACTAAAAATTAGGAAGTTAATTAGTAAATGTGAAAGTCTGGGAATAAAAGGAAACTCATCCTCCAAATAGTCTGCCCTTTGGTATATAATTTTCCTAATGCAGCCATTTAATTTATTCAAATAGAGAAGTTGTCTGTATTACCAAAGATTGTGACATTTACTTTCCAGTTTCCTTGATAGCATATTGTGGCAAAAAGTCCCAGTTTTCATAATCTACTTTGGTCAATTCACAGGTTTATATATAAAAGGAGAATGCCCTTCATATTTATAAAGTTTAATGAGAATCCTATATTAAAGTAGTTCATGTGAAAGAGCTTTGATAATTTTGTACATTTTCAAAAAATATCTCACATATCTCAGTGTAATCCTTTGCAACATCAGTTCATATATAATTAATTTACTTGTCTGCTGGCTACTATTACATAGATAGGAGTCTCACAGAGTTGGTGGAGATTTTTTTCTCTGCAGTACTGAGGATGGAGTCCAGGACTGGTGCATGCTAAGCAAGCATTTTACCACTGAGCCACATCCTCAGTCCCCAGAATTATTTAATTTTTAATTTACTGTGTGCCAGATTTACTTCCATGTCCCAGAATTCAGGATAATCTAACAAGCAAACTTTTTTTTTGTATTAGGTTCCAGATGAGATGATCCAGTGTGTAGTCTGTGAAGACTGGTTTCATGGAAGGGTAAGGAAAATTTTCACCTTTTAAAGGCATTGTCTCCACAAAAAGTTAGAGGCTTTTCCTTTCAAATTGTTTTATTTTACATTACAATTACTCTTTTATAAATAAGCTTACAGAGATATGGTGAGTGTGCTATTGCAATATTTGTTTATAAAATGATGATCATTTTAGATAGTTCAATCACAAGGAAAATATTTTGTTTTGTGTATCTGCAGCATCTTGGTGCCATTCCCCCTGAGAGTGGGGATTTCCAAGAGATGGTGTGCCAGGCTTGTATGAAACGTTGTTCTTTCCTGTGGGCTTATGCTGCACAGTTGGCAGGTAGGTGTCTTTGTGAAATTGGTATGACACAAACTTGTGCTTGTGAAATGTGTATGTTCAGTCCAGAATTTTTAATAACTATTTTGGACACTGAAGTACAGAAAACAGTATAAGATATGATTCTTCTTCATAAAATCCTTGTAGATTGGTTGGGAAACTACCACGAACAAGTGAACCTAGATGGTATGTTGCACCTATGCATGAGACTAGAATTGGAAAAAATTAAGGAGGCAGATTTTTGAATGGATTTTTAAAAATAGAAACTAAAATATATCATTAAATGTCAGACATGCTATTGGTTGGGTAGGGGTGATGTCTTAGTCCATTTGGGATATTATAACAAATACAGTAGACTAGGTAACTTATCAGCAATAGAAATTTATTGCTCACAGTTCTGGATACAGGTGAGTCAAGATCAAAGTGCCAGAGATTTGGTGTTTGGTGTGTGCTTGTTTCCTCACATAGTGGGAAAGGCACACAGTAAAAGATTTATATGATTGAAGGAAAACCAGAATATTTTAGGCATCTTTTTAAGGGTGCCAACTCCATACCTCCTGACATAATTGTCTTATGAAGGCTTTGCCTCTTTTTAAATTTTTTATTTTTAMTTTTTGGACAGAATCGCAATAAGATGCTGAGGCTAGCCTCAAATTAGTGATCCTTCTGCTTTACCCTCCCAAGTCACTGGGATTACAGGCATGTGCCACCATGCCTTGCTTCTGCCTCTTAATATTGCATTAGAGATTAGGTTTTAACATGCAGATTTTGGAAAGATGAACATTCAGACCAAAGCAGATGATAATACAGTTATCTAGTACTTTTGTTATAGACTAAGATATCGAGTCAGATCAGCAATGAATGGTGTTAGGGCATTAAGTATCTTATTGATAATGAACTTTATTTATTTATGTGGAGCTGGGGATTAAACCCACAGCCTTGTGCATGCTAGGAAAGTGCTCCATCACCAAAGCACATCCCCACACCCTTTTTCTTTAAGATGGCAATTCTTCATAGTGTTTGCTGCTCCAGCCTCTTAATTTCTTGCCCTTCTCACCTTTGAGGACTATTTTACCAATCAATCCACAAGCAGCATAGCTACACCTAAGATCTCATCCTATGTTTTTGATTTGCCTCTAAGTTCTTAAACTTCATGCTCCCTCTTTCTTTTATGCCCTTTCCGAATATCTCTCTCACTTTCCTCAGACAGGGGCCCTCTCTGTATTTCTCATTCATGAGGTTTTATTGATTTTCCCCTTCTCTCTCCATTTCTTTATGACTTCATCTGCTTTTAAATTGAAATGCCATCATCCTCATGAGTTCCTCACCATTTCTCTTCTGCATAGTATTTCTGCTTTATACCTGTTCTTTTTATTTCCTCCTCACATTAGAGAAAAACTGATGTTTTTACTAAAACTACCCTTCTTCTATTTGTATTTGCAGTTAAATCTCTTCTTACTCCTTCATTTCTTTCTTTCTTTTTTTTTTGTGATTTTTTTTTAATTGTCAGTGGGTCTTTATTTTATTTATATGTGGTACTGAGAATTGAACCCAGTGCCTCACATGCTAGGCAAGTGTTGTACCATTGAGCTATGCCCCAGCCCCCCCACCCCAACTGCTTCATTTCTTGAATTGTTCCATCTCTCTTTTTAGCATATTCTTTTCTTCTTGGCACATTGATTGCTTAAATTATTTGGATTAGGTAAGTGTAATCTAAAGAAGTTTGGTGTTTCCTTTCTTGCTATACCAGAGACTAAGATTGAATGTTCTTCTTTTCCAGATTTTAAAATATTTTTAAATCAGATTCAGTGACTTCCATTGTCTGATAGGTCTGTGGGGTGTATATGGTTTTTATTTATTAATTTTTTCATTGAATCCACAGTAAGTAAAATATCTGCTGAGGATGATGGTTTAATGCTAAATGTTGATGGAGTAGGTGATCAGGAAGTTATCAAACCTGGAAATGGAGATCACCAAGATAGTACCCTCAAAGAGGAGGTTCCAGAACCTGGAAAGGATGCTGTCAAAGATCCTAAGGCAGAGCAGAAAAATGAACCATGTACCAGCTCTACTTCTGAATGTGATCTCCAGGTAATGTATGAAGTACAAGCCATAAAAAAATAAAATTTAGACAACATTAATTCTGTAAGCTCTATAGCTTTGGATTTTTTTGCCTAAAGAAATCCTTCTACAAAAATAGAAACTATGAAAACAATGATAAATACTTCAAAACTCAATTTTTATTTTAGACAGTGGTTAAGAATCAAAGCCTCAACTCAGAATCACAATCTGGCTGCAAACTTCAGGAGCTTAAAGCTAAGCAGTTTATAAAGAGAGATGCTGCCACCTATTGGCCTTTGAACTGGCGTAGCAAGTTGTGCACCTGCCAAGATTGTATGGTGAGTATTTGATTAAATTTAATGTTTATATGTTTTGTGTGCTGAAATATGTTTTTATGGAATTGTAGGAATATAGAAGACTTTCAGTTTTTTTTTCTGTTAAGTAAATTTATAAAATCATACTTGTCTGAATCCTTGTAGGAAAAATAATAATTATGCAGTACTTTTTATTTACTTACCTCAATTTTAGTGGAAAATAGCTAATATCTTTTTTTATATAATAAAGTTGCTTGGAAACATAAATTGCTTGAAAGTTGTAATAAATCAGGTATTTTTACATAAAAATTTCGTAGATGATATACAGCATCCCCTGGGAAGTAGACAGATTTCTGAAAAAGATTTAGGCAAAAAGTTTAAATCCTTTAAGCAGCTCTGTGTTAAGAGGCTCAGATTTGCCAGGTATAGTGGTGCACACCTTTAATCCCAGCAGCTCAGGAGGCTGAAGCAGGAAGATTGTAAATTCAAAGCCAGCCTAAGCAATTTAGCGAGGCCCTATGCCACTCAGTGAGACCTGTCTCTAAGTAAAATATAAAAAGGGGCTGGGGATGTGGCTTAATTTTAAGGACCCCTGGGTTCAATTCCTGGTACCAAAAAGAGAGGGGGGGGGTTTCAGATTTTTCTAGGCATTAATTTAAAAATAATAAATACATTTTTAGTAATTCTCATGAAATTGACTTTCTGAAAATGACACACAGTTTTAATGGGAGAATGGTTTTATTTTTTAAAGAAAATGTATGGAGATCTAGATGTCCTGTTCCTGACAGATGAATATGACACAGTTTTGGCCTATGAAAACAAAGGCAAGATTGACCAGGCAACTGATAGGAGGGACCCTTTAATGGATACCCTTAACAGCATGAACAGAGTCCAGCAAGTGGAACTCATTTGTGGTAAATACTGTTTATATGTATAAAATTCATAAAGTTCAAAAGTTGTTTTTTTTGTTTTGTTTTGTTTTTCATGATGTTAAAAAAATAATATAGGGGCTGGGGCTCAGTGGCAGAAGACTTATCTAGCATGGGTGAGGCACTGGGTTCAATCCTTAGCACCAAATACAAAAATAAGGAAATAAAATAAAGGCATYCTATCCATCTACAACTACAGAAACATTTTTTTAAAAAGTGTAAAGAGGATAACCACTATGTTTCTAACTTAATGCTAAGAAAATTTAGTAGGCCTTAACTATAATTTCTTCATTTTAATATTGCTGAGTATTCAACTGCTCTGACCACTGATTCAGAGCTTCATATTAGAGTAATTACATGTTTGAGAAACTACTAYATGTACTGTTTTGATTAAGAGTAGATGTATGAATATAGAATAGAAAAATTTTCCACCAATTGAAATAATTTTCATTGAGCATTATGTCATTTTTTTTTTTAAAGCAAAGTATGTCATCTTTTTTGTCAGTTCTTGAGGTTCCTTCAGAGGTTCRTAGGAAACCACTAGAAGGAAAAATGTTTCTGAATCCTTAATTGTAGGCTTTTATGTCTCTCCCTCCCACTGGCCTCTTCCTCGCATGCCCAACTTATTTCCGTGTTTCTGTCCCAGCCAGTTTCCAGTTGGATGCCACCATCTTTGTGTCCCCACCCCCATTTTTTCAAATATCTTTTTAGTTRTAGATGGACACAATACCTTTATTTTGTTTAATTTTTTTAATGTGGTGCTGGGATCAAACCCAGTGCCTCACATATGCTCAGCAAGTGCTCTACCACTGAGCCACGACTCCAGCCCCACCTTTGGGTCCCTTTTATAGCATTGATTACTTCTTTCTTTTATTTGTATCTTTTATTTATAACTGATTAGTTCCTTTTGCCTTTATTAGACTAAAAAAGTTTTCAATGATGGTGGCTGCATTTAAAAGATTTTTGTGGCCCTTGTGCTTGGCATGTAATAAAAACTGTTATTAAATAGGTGAATGGGTTTTAATTTTTTTWAATTTTTATTAGTTATTGATGAATTTTTATTTATTTATTTGTTTTTACGTGGTGCTGAGAATTGRACCCAGTGCCTCATGCATGCTAGGCAAGCACTCTACCATTGAGTCACAACCCCAGCCCAGGGTTTTAAAATTTAATGTTTGATGAGTCCAGAGTTATTTCAAGTACTAGAATTCCAGAGAAATAGGAAATCCTTTTTAAAAAATTCTTAACTGGCCAGGAGCAGTGGTACACCTTTAATCCCAGCAGCCCAGAAGACTGAGTCAGGAGGATCATGAGTTCAAAGCCAGCATCAGCAACTTAGCAGGGCCCTAAGCAACTTAGTGAAACTCTGTCTCAAAGAAAGAAACAAAACAAAACAAAACAAAAAAACATAAAAAGGGCTGGGGATATGGCTCAGTGGTTAAGCTTCTTGGGTTCATCCCCAGTGCCCGACCCCCCCCCAAAAAAAAAAAAAAAAACTTAACTGACCTTTATGGTAGTGTGGATATTTATTTTATTCTTGTTTTTGTTTATGGGTTTTTTGAGTTTGGTGGTGGTTGTTAAAGTATCCCAGATATCAGAATGGTGATATTGAGGGCTGGGGATGTGGCTCAAGCAGTAGCATGCTCACCTGGCATGCACATGGTGCTGGGTTCGATCCTCAGCACCACATACAAAAAGAAGTTATGTCCGCTGAAAACTAAAAAATATTAAAAAATTCTCTCTCTCTCTCTCTCTTTCTCTTTAAAAAAAAAGAATGATGATATTGTGAATGAAATTCAGAGTAAGTTTATATGCAGATTTCAAAGTTTGGTTTAAACTATTAACATACTCAACCATCAGTGACAAATAAATGTTTTCTTTTAAAATAAGTAGCTTGGGCTAGGGTTATAGCTCAGCAGTAGAGTGCCTGCCTAGCACACCTGAGGCACTGGGTTTGATCCTCAGCACCACATAAAAAATAAATAAATAAATAAATAAATAAAATAAAGGTTAAAAAAAAAGAGGTCAGCTAAAAAGGAAATAAATTTTTAATTATCTAATTTCTAATTATCTAAATTTCAAATGTTTTTGTGGTTTTGGTTTAGAATACAATGACTTGAAGACTGAACTGAAAGATTACCTGAAGAGATTTGCTGATGAAGGCACGGTATGTTGAGTTTAAGGAATTTTAATCATAACTTGTGTATATTTTACACTATTTATTTCCTTTTTATGATAAAAAATGAAGAGTAAAAATGGAGTACTTGAAAATTTAATGCAGAAACTATGGGATGTTGGCAGACTTTAAGGGGAATCAGTAAAGGGCGACGAGATACCAAGGGATGTGTTGGAATCCTTACCAATCCCTAATGGCTGAAGGAATGAGAGGCAGGAACAGTCCCACAGAGTCTGGAGAAAGTAGCTGTAGCAGAGGAGAAGGCCACTGGAGGAATCAGGGGATACTGACTGCTGATCCTGTCTGAAGCACATGTCCTTGGGAGTGGGAGGAAAAAATGATTGAGCACAAAAAAGTAAAACTAGACCCATAGTTTAGAGTAGAACTCTACCACTGGAGAAGAAAATTTCTTACAAATACTTTACAGTCCTCTACTATTCATACATTTCTGACAGACACCTATCTTCTACAGACAAATGCAAAACAATATTTAAATTTTCTCTGGAAGGTTGTCCTTCTGTACAGTTAAGCTGTGGCTCTGCTGTAGCCAGGGACATGGGTCTRATGAATGTTGCTTACTTCTGAACAGTTCTTGGACTCTTATGTTTTCTCTATTGCACAGTCTCTCCTCTGGTTGTTGTGACTTCAGCTTCTTTCCTGCTATAACTAAGACTGTTCATGACTCCAGTGGAGGCTGTACCTCCCTTGTGTAACCTCTGCACTTTATTAGATTTGAATCACAATGAGATACGTGATCTTTGCCCATTCACATTTGAAAACATTTTATTCAGTTTTTTAAATCTGATGTGATGACTTCAGAAGACAGAAAAATGTGATTTTTCAATTATTTCTGAACATTACTAACTATATCTTTACCTAAGAATGGGGAAAGCCTCAGGTTGTCATTACTTTACTGCTATGGTTGTCTTCAACCACAGGAAATGATGTTAGTATGATCTAGATGTTCTCTGATGATGGTGGAGTTTTATTTAATGTTTGTATCTGACTGTAAAAAGTAACACTTAGAACTACAGATTTTCTGAGACAAAGCAGTAAAATGATTTACTGTTAGACCCAGTATTTCTTTGTTAGCATTTCTACTCTGTTGGCTGTGACCATCTTAGGACATCTAGAATCCAAACACTGCACCCTCTAATGGGATGCTTTGTGGTCTCCTGCCATGGTATACAGACCAGAGATACTTCTTTCCACTGTTTAATGTTTATGACTCACAGATCCTTCATTTTGAAACTTCCAAGTATTATATTTATTATATTTATTAAAGTATAGTTTCCCAAGCCATTTAGCTCAGTCCATTAGAGCCTTGAGCTATACTTACCTCAGGCTGTTTGGCTTTCTAAACCTTCAATTTCTTAGGGGTCAGCAGTTTTCCTTTTGTTCTTATGAATCTGGTGTATCAAGTACTGGTGTGTGGCCAAGTACTGACAAAGGTCTTTCATTTAAAGGACTAATAAATATTCTACCCCAAGAAAGTTGTWAGCCAGCATTGCCATTCAGTCAGATCAGCCGAACTTGTCCCTGGGAACAGAAGAAGGTTTACATTTTGTATGATTGACGCCCCTCCTGCTTCCTCTTTCTCTTTCCCCTGTTGTTTGCTTTTGCTTTTGTTCACATTTTCTTTTTTTTCTTTGCTCTTCCTGCCTCACCATCCTTCTTTCCCACTAATAATGTAATTAAAAATAAATGAACAAACTTGTCTCATGGTGATCCCTAGAACAGCTTTCCATCATATCATCTGGCCTAGACTCCCTCTTGGGATGAGCAGGAACCCCTGGGTTGTCCCAGTTTGCTTTTTTATTTATTTAGTGCTTCTTTTATAAGCATCTTTATATAATGCTCTAAATCTCCTACTGAGGAGATAAATTTTTTATTTTTATTGCATAAAACGGATTTACAAAAAGTAGTGCTTCTAGTTTGTTGAACTTTTTTTAACCCCAATAATTCTTCTGTTTATATAGCAAAACATCTTTAATTTGAGATTCTTGATAGGGAAAAGTGTTTTTTTGGTGTGTGTGGTTTTGTTTTTTTCTTTGTTAAAATATTCTCCACTATTGGTAAAAAGAAAGCACAGATCTCAAGTTTTGTTTTCTGTGGGTGATTTGTAGAGCTGAAGGATATTTCTTTTTTCTTTTTTCTTTTTTTTTTTTTTT